CTCATGTAAAACGTAATGTCGAGTCATTTACCGGCGGAACCATGGATAAATTGGTAAATATATAAATTTTACTGTTTAAAATAAAATTGTCTATACGATTTTTCTTTCCCGAAAGATTTTTTTGAAAAAGATAAACGGCTGGTGGTTGTCGTTTTGCCAGCAAATGATTATGATGCGCAGTATATTTCTATATTTGGATCGAACGTATGTTTTGCAAAACCCTATTGTGCACTCTATATGGTATGTAATTGACAACAGCGGCAAAGTAATTTCTTCTGTAGATGCTTGTAACTACAACTATTTTGTTTGTAATATTTCAATAGGGACATGGGATTGGATCTCTTTCGCACTCATATAGCTATGAATGACCAAGTGCAAAAGCGTACTGTGGAAGGCATACTTATGTTAATTGAAAAAGAGCGTACGGGTGACGCTGTGGATAGGGGATTACTTAAGAGCCTCGTGCGAATGTTATGTGATTTGCAAATATATGAAATTGCGTTCGAAAGTAAATTCCTGATTGCAACCAAGCAACTATATCAGGCAGAAGGGCAGCGAAAAATGCAAGAACTCGATGTACCCGAGTATTTGAGGCATGTGGACAAAAGATTGGCTGAGGAGAACGAACGGCTATTACATTATCTAGACTCTAGTACTAAGTAATGCATATTTTCCGACAAAAAAAAATCTTGATTTAACACATTACGATATCTTTGATCTAGATATCCTTTGATTTACACTGTAGAAAAAGAACTACTCGCCGAACACCTCACACAGATTTTACAAAAAGGTCTGGACACACTCTTGGAAGAAAATAGACTGAGTGATCTCACACTGTTATACAGCCTTCTGAGTAGGGTCAAAAACGGCACAGCCGAACTGTGTGGAAATTTCAATGGCTACATTAAGGTTAAAATTAGCCAAATTTCACGTAGAAACGCTGTTAATGTTTTTTTTTTGTTCATAATTATATTACAGAAAAAGGGACGCACTATCGTCATTGACCCAGAGAAAGATAAAAGTATGGTTCAGGACTTGCTGGACTTCAAGGATAAAATGGACGTGATAGTGCGTAACTGCTTCGAGCATAATGAAAAATTCACGAATTCCCTGCGAGAGGCTTTCGAGTTCTTCATAAATCAACGAGCAAATAAGCCGGCTGAATTAATTGGTTAGCAAAGCCACACCCTTTCTTTTCTTTCATTGCTAATACAAACAATGTTACTTACAGCCAAATATGTTGATATGAAGTTACGGGCTGGTAATAAGGAAGCCACGGAAGAGGAACTGGAGCAGATACTCGATAAAATAATGGTGCTCTTTCGTTTTATTCACGGAAAAGACGTATTTGAAGCATTCTATAAAAAGGTAAAATTAAAGCTTATTAAGTAAAATTTTTTATACAAGTAACTTTTAGGATTTGGCGAAGCGTTTATTGGTTGGAAAATCTGCGTCTGTGGATGCTGAAAAGAGTATGTTGTCCAAGTTAAAACAAGAGTGTGGTGGCGGGTTCACATCGAAGTTGGAAGGCATGTTCAAGGATATGGAATTGAGTCGGGATATAAATATTGCTTTTAAGCAGTATGTCGCAAACATGGATCGGGAAATAACGAGCATGGATTTGACTGTGAGCATCCTTACTATGGGATATTGGCCTACCTACCAGCTTACAGAAGTAACAATGCCACCACAACTCGTTAACCCGCAACAAGTGTTTAACAAGTTTTACTTAGCTAAACACAGCGGACGGAAGCTGCAATGGCAGCCAACACTAGGCAATTGTGTACTAAAAGCTCAGTTCGATGCGGTATGTACTGGAATGATTCTTATATTTCTGTAGTACTAATAATGCACTTATAGGGGCCGAAAGAGCTGATGGTTTCATTATTTCAAGCGCTTGTGCTCTTGCTGTTCAATGACAAAAACGCACTGAGTTTCGAAGATATTGTTGCGGCAACAAATATTGAAGTAAGTGGCTTGTACGCTGTTATATTCGTGTCATAATTAAATGATTTTTTTATCCATTAAGGATGGAGAACTGCGTAGGACATTGCAATCGTTGGCCTGTGGTCGTGCGCGTGTTATTTCTAAAACACCAAAGGGACGTGAAGTGGAGAACAAAGATTTGTTCCAATACAATAATGAATTTACAAACAAATTGTTCCGTATCAAAATTAATCAAATCCAAATGAAGGAAACGGTATGCTTCAAAGCCATAAAGTTTGGTTAAATGTTGTCACATTATGTGTTGTTTATCTCTTTTTCCCTTTCAGACGGAAGAGCAGAAGGCTACAGAAGAGCGCGTATTCCAAGATCGACAGTATCAAATTGATGCAGCAATTGTGAGAATAATGAAAATGCGTAAAACGCTTAGTCATAATTTACTCATCGGTGAACTTTTTAATCAACTTACATTTCCCGTTAAGGTAAGAGAGCACCCGATTAGTAAAAACTTAATTTATCTAAACTAAAAATATTTAGTTCGCTCATTTAAACTTACAATTCTTGATCATTAAATTTATTGACAAATATTTTATCAACTTTTGAAACTCGTTTCAGCCTGCTGACCTAAAAAAACGCATTGAATCACTTATAGACCGCGATTATATGGAACGCGACAAAGATAATCAAAACCAATATAATTACGTTGCATAAATTTTGATTTCGGCTGCGTATATCGATTGGAACTGCTCGGAAGCACACCCCTTCTTCATAATCCCCATATTTCATATTAATATTATTTCATTCGTAACCCGAATCTAAAAGAAAAGAACTACCGATTACTCACATCATATCCTTTTGCTTTACAAATGTATAACAGTTTTAACGTCGTTATATAAAAAAGCATGTCCGGCCAAAATGAAATCATAACATAAAAAATATTCTAATCAAGATAGCGTTAAACCAAAGTTCTATTTTCTGGTTTGGTTTGGACGTTTTAGCAGGGTCTAGCACAGTAGATGTAGAAGCCACGTTGAAAACACAAGGGGCAGTGGCTGTTTTGCCTATGATGAAATGAAGTATATGTATAATTAGTTACTTTTCATAAATTTAATATAATTTTATCTATTAAAATGAAATATTAACTTCTTATGTATGTATGCAAACACCTGTTGCTTTTGCTCCTCTTCTAATTCTTGCTTTGTTATGATGGCAATGCGGAGGAGTTATACAAACGGCAATGTAGAACATTTGCAAAAAAGCACTTATCATTTTGAATATGAACGAAGTGGAGAAAGTATGTATGTAAATGCTTATGCATAGATACAGTTAGTGTTAAATGAGTTTATAAATTCGCAGGAATACCATGGGTGGCAAACAAAAAACAAAAAATTTGTTCCCTTTTGATAATTTAAATCGTAGTTTATTGCATATAATAAAAATAAAAAACAATATAAATATATATAAATGTAATTTTAATAATAAAAGTTTTCAGAACTTAATATTTGCCCAATATCTTTAAGTCTTGTGTTTTTTACGTAAAAGTTCCGATTGAACATTTTATACCTAAATATTTACATATATATACATATTCTTCAAACTAAAAAAAAACGATTTAGCTGGTACATCTTTAAACTACATTCCAAACTGCGGACCAAAGTAAGTATTATTAATTTATTGAGTACTAAATGAAGCTCTATTGGATTTTTTTTTTTTAGATTAGATGTAATCGGACCATGTCCTGCTGTGCTGAAAAATTGTTTGATAGATTTTGCGGCAAGTCTCTCAAACCGATGAATTTTCGAGAAGTTAAGCTTAGAAAAAGGTTTATAATATCACAAAAACTATGTAGTATATACGCCGTTTTAAAATTTTAGGCGCAAGTTTTAAAAATAAAATAAAATTAATTTATTTTTAATTTAAATAAAGTTTATCTTTAGCAAAAACAAAGTTTCAATTACTGAATTTTCGTAAAAATTTCCAGATTTTAATTATTTCTTATGTAGTATGCAGTTTAGTGGAACATTCAATTTTAATATAATAAGATGCTAGTTTGATGAACTTATTTCCATGACGGTGTTGTGCATTTTCTTCCATATAAAGGAAATCGTCGAACATAAATAGCATGATAAAAACATAGCAAGGTATAACCGTTCTCTCAATTTGTCGGCCATGATTTTTTTTTGAAGTTTGCCAACATTTTAAAATCATATAAAAGTGAAAATAAAAAATTGAAATTGTTCGAAATTGTTGTTGCTTGAGATTGAAAATGAAAATGTGTGTGTGAGTTTGTGAGTAAATTTAAAAATTAAATTGTTTGGAAACGTCAAGAATCTTAAAAGTGACTCTCAGCGGTTCTACCTTACTATATTTTTATCATGATACATACTTTGTATGGAAAAGGGCATAACACTGTCAGCAAAAAAAAAAATCAGCTAAAATTCAAGGGACTAAAACTACATATTCAAAATATTTTAAATCTAATCAAAAAGGTTGAAATTTTTACGAAAATTCTTTGAATTTTTATATTATACGGATTTGGTAAAAAAAATTAACTATATTAAATGTCAAACAAAATATTGAGACTTGTTAATATGTGCTACGTTTATAAATTTGACACGGTGTGTATTTTATATATTATTAAAGATAAATAGAAATTTGTTATTTCGCACAAAAATTTGACTAAAAAGGTGCTAGATGGTAACAGGATTGGATTTACAGCAGTTGAAGCAAAAATGAAAATTGCAATAAAACTCCAGCGCGTTGATTTTCGAAAGCAATTTGCGCATCGATTTAAAAAAAATACATTTTCAAAATATATACATTTTGGTGTCGAACAAGGCGAATCTATACAAGGTGGTGTTATCGGATCAGTTGATTTCACGGCGAATTCGGTCTTTTTGCCAAAATGATGTGTTTGTTGTTATTTTGTTTTGTACTGATTGTCAATGTGCGTATAATTTGTTATTGTAATTTTTTTATTTCTGTTCTCTTAACACCACCTTGCATAAATTCGTCTTGGTTTCGAATATACAATGTGGATTTCACTTCCACTGGATTTCCACTTTCTGAAATGCATTGAAAAAGTACCTGCGTTGCCACGTCTGACTACTATAATAAAAACTTAATCAAAAAGCTGCTGCTGGTCACCTTAAATTAACCTTAAAGAATTCGCTGAACCTGCCGGTTGTGTAAATTCAATAGGTTTTGCTTTGCATTTACATATTTATATATATATATTTTATAAATAAATAATTTTAATGGACGGTGTTAATTTGTTTTCCCAATTTGTGGTACAACACAAGCCACAATTAGAGTCATCAGGAGTGCCCCAACATTTTTGGAAATCTTTACACCGAAAGCTTGAAAAGGAAATTTTTGATGCTGGCATATCACTTCAGTTGCTACTAATTGATTATGAAAGTGATGAAGAAAGTGAATCTGGGATGACCGGTGGTGACACTAACATACAAGTTATCGCTGAAGAACCACGTCCAATGTTCACTCTGTCTGTAGCATGTGAAGGTGGGATTAAAGCTAACGATCCGGACGCTATATTTCTTATTGATCATGCATGGACATTCCGCACGAATATCGCAAGACAACAATTGGAACAATATGAACAGTTAACTGATCGTATGTGTGCCATTATGGGCATTGATATAGAAGACGAAGGGCGTGTTGATAAGGTTTTGCGCAGAATGTGGCGTTACTGTCACGCGTATACCATTGCAAGTAATGGACTATCGGATGAAGAACGACAACCTATTTGGTATGTTATGGATGAGGTCGGTTCGGCTGTAAATCATTCTGATGACCCCAATTTCCGTTTGGTTCCCTTCCTGTACCTCAATAACCAAACAACATTCAGTCTGTTGTTTCCCATACGTGATTGTGCTTTTGAGGAACAGGTGACACGCGATCTTGTAGAGTACGTAAAACAAGACACAGCAGAACGTGATGCTTTACTTTTACCATGGCGTGCTACAGACTTACGTGAGCACAGTTTCGTACAGGTTGAACCATCTGCAGAGTACTTCTCAAGTGGCCATATACCAGAGTCTTTTCCGGAAGGAGAATTTGCCTTATTAAAACCTCAAATGAATCGCAATCAGCCCTTAAAAGTTTATAGTGAATACGATGTGTTAAGTACACATCTCACAGATCCTAGTTTTCAATTGGTAGCCAATCAATCGGAGGCTGATGTGCTTTGGTTAACGCATCATTACAAAAATTTCGCGGAGCTAGCCCGTGATACACCCAATAAGTTTGTAAACCAATTTCCGTATGAATATGTTTTGACTATTAAAGATTTGCTAGGAATTACGGGAAGGCGTGCAGCTAAAGAACACCACAACTCTCAAACTTTGGAAACCTATCCAAGCTGGCTGCCTACAACCTTTAATTTAAAGACGGAGTTGCTGGAGTTCGCGTCATATTATCAACATCGTGCCGCCAAAGGTCTTGATAATCACTGGATAGTGAAGCCATGGAATTTAGCGCGAGGCATGGACACGCACATATCGGACAATATTGTACAGATCGTGCGTTTGCCAATCACCGGGCCAAAAATAGCTCAAAAGTATATTGAACGTCCTGTCTTATTTAAGCGTGCCGAGTTGGACGCAAAGGTAAGTTCATAAAAGCTACATCTTTGTGTTCAGATCCTAACTTAAATTAATTTGTTGTGTCTTTAAGGTCAAATTCGACATACGTTATGTGATATTGATAAAGAGCTTTCAACCGCTCGAAGCTTACGTGCATCGAGAATTCTTTCTACGATTTGCAAACAAATCCTTTAGTCTTGATCATTTCGATGATTATGAACAACACTTCACTGTAATGAACTATCGCGAAGAGGCGGCTTTGCGACATATCAAATGTGAAGATTTTTTACCTCTTTGGAAGAAGCAATATCCAAAATATGAATGGTCAATTATTGAAAAGGACATTTTCTCGATGTTACACGAGTTGCTAACTTGCGCAACAAAATTGCCACCGCCCTGTGGCATACCACCTTGCCAGCAATCGCGTGCATTGTATGCTGCGGATATTATGCTAGCTTGGGAGGGTCCGAACGAAGAGACCTCTTCGTCACATATGCATCCGAAATTGCTAGAGATTAATTGGACGCCTGATTGTCAGCGAGCATGCGATTATTATCCAGATTTCTTTAATGATATTTTCAAATTGCTTTTCCTTGATGAAGATAACAATGAAAGATTTGTGCTTTTGGGTGCAATCGTTTAGAGAATATCAATAGGATGCATATGCTTTTACAATAGAGCATAACATTTTTTGTATAATTTTTTTTTTTTATATTAAACAAAAACTTAAGTAATTTCAAAATGTTTGATTTAACATGTATAAATAATGAATTTAATCAATTTTGAGTAAGTTAGCGTCCTTCAATTTCGAAATACCGTTATATGAAAAGTGGGCGTAATTTTAGTCCGATTTCAATAATTTTCAACGTTTTGCTTTTACGTGGCAAGACCAATGGCCCGTAGTCATAGTCAAAATAAAGTCG